GTATAGTGTGTGTATATATATATATATATACACACACACACACACACACACACACACACTTATATACATGCATACATATGGGTGTGTGTTGGGCTAAGGATTCTTCTACAGTAAATGTTAATGACTTGTTGGCGCTAAGTTAAAAAAAAAAACAAAGAAAAACACACACTCCACTTGTTTTAAAATAATATATTGAAAACAAATTAAACGTATGTACAAAAATTCTTTACACTATGTATATCATAGTTGTATCTTAAATACTATACAGTTCTCTTCTTGTCAAAAGTCCACTTAGGCCAATTCAATTGGTTTAGAATTTAGTTGACAAGCCAAACTATTTTTCTCTATTTTTATCTTAAACACTATTGGTGTATAATTTACTTCTTGTCTCTTTTTTTTTTTTCTTTTATCACAACAATATCAGTGTATAATTCACTTAAGGTGTCATTGAGTTACCGCAGTTCTATCCTAAACTTCTGATACTCATCTGCTTTTTCGTATTTAGGCCTACTTCCAATTTACGTTTGTTTTTTGCATAAAGGCCTGCTTCCAAATAATCATCTGCTTTTTGTCAAAGTCCACACAGGCAGGTTCAATTGCTTTACAACACCCATTGACGAGACAAATTATTCTCCTAAAATGTCAGAAAACTGTTAATCTCACTTTAACATATCAACCATTAGGTTATTCACTCCTATGGCGGTTAACTTTACATTTTCTAACTTTTCTCTTTTGGCTCTTTTCCCACTCTCTGGTCTCTTGTTTGGTTGCCTCTATTTATATCTCTCGAAATCACCGTATCCTTGGCATCAGTGACTTACAAACACAACTTCCAATAAACTTTTGCTTTTAACTCTTATTATGAAAAAAACTAAACAATCATAAAATATTAAATCACAAGATAAATGAATTAATACTACCTACACTAAACAGTCTTTTATATCTGACACGCCCTTTCGATTCGGATCCCTTATCCTACTCCTACATGGATGTCGGTTACCAGTGCCTGGGTTTTGGATTTAGAGTAGAACCAATCAACACAAGTCTTCACACGTGTCTATATTCCTCACTCATTTATACTTCATTAGTGTTGTGGGTTACAGTGGAGGTAATTACAGATTTTTCTGGTACTTTCTCTTCAGCTATTCCTCCATGTTTTTTATTCTGAGGATGTTAATACATTGGGGTGGTTCAGGACAAGAAAAAATTCAAAACATATTACTCAAGAAAAGCCCTCTGAGATTATTATTTCACATCTTTATACAACTTAACGCTAAAAACAGGATACATACCAACCACCTGGAAACAGGCTGATATTCTTATGTTCCAGAAGGAAGGAAAATCAGCGAATAACCCCGAAAAGTACAAGTTTTACTGTGTACTGTCCATTGTGCCCTAGCTACTGTACACCTAGGAGCACATCCTTTTCATTTTACCCACTTTTATATTTCTGGGATTGAGTTTCATAAATATTGCATGGTTTGGATCACTTTCCGGCCATAGTTCTTTCCCAGTTGGATGTGCTCCTATATTTTACACCCATATATGCAACATTTTTCTATGATGGGTGAAGAGAAAACCTAGTTCAGAAGTGGTGCAGTTCTACACATCAGATCTTAGAATCTGACTGCCTCAACTTAGGGGGTGTCCTTCAGACGTTTTCTAAGGATACTTCTTTCTTTCCCTCACACCAGTCCTTCCACCTGTTCATTGTAGGATTCTAGCTATTTATGTGAGAAGAGGTAATGTACCGTATCAAAAGTTATAATTTTCCTACACTGAAAATGAATTTCTGATAGGTACTTTCCACCCCTCCTCCCCACTAAAAACCGGTGTTTCCATCTTTTGCCAAAACTTGAAGTGACAGTTGGTAG